AACCCAGTTTCACCCTGGGTGCCTTTGCATATGTGTGTTTGGTACAAGCACTTCTTGGTTGCATTTGGCTCCTCTACACAAACACTATTTTTATACCCATGTATTGCTGTGTTTTTGTTTCTGTTAAAACACCAGCCTTAATGGAGACTTCGGGCCTCTGACTGGCCTCTGCACTAAAATCCTCTCGTCATGCTGTTGTGACCAATACCCCATGTTTAGCAGCAAGTATGCGCCCTTTGATGAAAGACCCTAGTACATTGTCACAAAGCATAATGTGTTGGGTCCTGAGTGGGGTGTGTTAGATGTGGCGACAATGGAGGAACATCTAGTAAACTATTATAGGGCTGGCCTGGGGGATTGTTTTGCAAACAGGGATGCTAGCTGGGTGGACACATCACCTTTTCACTGGAAAAGGTCCAGATATTGGCCATTTCTGCACATCTGGCTTTTGAAGAGACAGCTTCTTAAACTATTAAAGCTGAGGGTAGTATTCCAAATCAGTTTCAGGAGATGGCAGTTCATTACCCGCTGCCCCTTCCATTAAGCGAACTGTGCTCCAAGACAGTTTCATACAACCAAGCTATTGCAACTAGAAATACCAGGTTGGATCCAGACTAAATTGATCATTTCCACTGATTCCCCCTTCCTGCTGCAGACCACGCCCCATGTAATTTCTCAGGGTCCCCTATCCCCAAGGAACAGCATTTCATGGAGATTGGTGACTTCCATTCTGCCACTGGAAAATTTAGGCTGAATGCACGGCTTGCTGGCTGTTTTGTATTTGATATTTCTTCTTCAAGGACAACATCTGTGACTCCAGAAAGCCTGTTGTTATGTCTATTGGGAATTCAAATCCGGATTTCAAATATAAAGTCATGTATAGTATATAGCTATAGTTTTAAAAAAAATATTCTGTATGAAAACCAGAAAGTAAATGTTAACTGCTTGCTTAGACCTCTCTATTTAGGTAACTTGTCAAGGACGGGAGGCTTAGATTGCCAGCAGAAACTCTTTTTGGTTTATCCAGAACTTGTTTTGAATTGGCCAGCGCTTGGATTAGGTAGAATGAACCCAGTTCTCATTTTTTGTCAGTCTGCAGCTGCCCTTAATCATTCTCTCTACATTTATTGTGTGCTGTGAAATAACTCAAACATTCCTGCAAAGCCTAGAAGAGGGCTGGAGAATCCACAGCCTGGCTCCTGAAAGCCTGTCTTGTGGACTTTCATGTATGTACTCCCAAATACCTGTGGTTACAGTCATGTGCCTAAAGCTACCATACCAAGCACACTTGGTTTAAAGGGGGGGGGGGAGAAAACACCCTGCTGAAAATGCTTGGGCCTTGTATTGAGAACAGACATGGATGTTGCTGTTCTTTATTATCTTTTCACTAAAGTTTTAGGCTAACAAAATCTACCATCAACATAGTGTAATTACCGTACAGAGATTTCCATGGTAATTTATTTTACTTTCTAGATAGGGTTTGCTTTTTCCTAGAACTCCAGAGTTTGCAGCCTCACCTGAGACAGTAGCCCGGGGGTCCCAACCAGTGTTCCCTCTAAGCTTAGTTCACAGTTTTTTAGCCTCCGGCTCACACATTTTTGTCTTAGCTCAGGAAGGATGATTCCAGAGCAAACTAAGTTATTCAGTAGCCAACTCACCTGCTCACAACTTTAATGCCGGTAGCTCACAAAGTAGAATTTTTGCTCACAGGACTCCACAGCTTAGAGGGAACATTGGTCCCAACCAATGCTCCCTCTAAGATGTGAAGTCTTGTGAGCAAATATTCTACTTTGCGAGCTACTGGCATTAAAGTTGTGAGCAAACTAGTTGGCTACTGCGTAATTTGGTTTGCTCTGGAGCCATCCTTCCTGAGCTAAGATAAAAATGTGTGAGCTGGAGGCTAAAAAACTGTGAGCTATCTCACACTAACTCAGCTTAGAGGGAACACTGGTCCCAGCCTTTCTGAGCCCGTGGGCATTTTTAGAATTCTGACACAGTGTGGTGGGTGCAGCCACAGATGGCCACCATGGGAGGTGGAGCCACGTCCACACAGAAGAAGCCCAAGTAACTTCTTCTGTTGCACGAGCAGACTAGGCCAGGCATCACTAGAGTGGTAGTGTGTGGGATCCATCCAGGAAGTAGCTTCTCCAGTCCTCAGTAAGTGGGTCCTTTGTGACCAACGGTGGCCTAGCTGTCGTGGATCAGTGGACCTGATCAAATTGAGCAAGACAGCAGTGGTATCTCTACCCCCCCCCTCGGGTCTCCCAGCATGTAACAGATGAGTATTTTGGACAGTGCCGTCTACAGTATAGCCTGTCACACTCCAGCATGAAGCCTTCTCGTTCTGCATTGGGTCCCTGTGTTCCTCAGAGGAATTCTCCCACCCTTCTGTAACTAACCTAGACAAATGGGAAGCGCCTTTCTGCGCAACGGCACCCTCCAGCTCTGTATATGAGGAATCCACTTTGTGCTGCGAACAGCCTTTCAAACTAATCCCACCACCACCTATATGGCGACACATCGTTTTCCTCTTCCATATACTTCCTTTTTATCTGCAATATTACTAAACATTTATACATTTCCAGATGAAGGATTGTAATGATTTTTTTACTTATTGTGATACTGAAGGCAAATCACTAAATCGCTGCTTGATTATTATTTTTAAATTCCATCTTAAGTGGTGTACTTTGTTTTACTTTGTATATTGGCACAAACTTTTTTCATACCTCGCTACTTAAAATGTCTTTCATGCTAATTTTCCTGTTCTTTTTTGATATACTGAGATAACTGAACTTTACAAAAGTTCAGATGGTACATGTCTGTTTTCATAGTGTTTTAAAAAAAAATCTGTATTTTTGTATGTAAGGAAATTGTAAGTTTTTCTGAACACTAATCGATATAGTCTGGAATCATTGTAAAGGACTTGTTTAATAAATGGATAAGATTAAAAACCTGGCACTGTCTTTGCCAAGAGTGAGTTATGATGACAAATTGTTTTAGTCCACCCTTGTGTTGCATATCTTGATGAGGGTCAGACCAGTGTTCCCTCTAAGCTGAGTGTGAGCTAGCTCACTGTTTTTTAGCCTCCAGCTCACACATTTTTGTCTTAGCTCAGGGAGGATGGCTCCAGAGCAAACTAATGTATGCAGTAGCCAAATCGCTCGCTCACAGCTTTAATGCCAGTAGCTCACAAAGTAGAATTTTTGCTCACAAGACTCCACAGCTTAGAGGGAGCATTGGTTCAAACTATTAGTAGTTAGAGTATTAGTTAGAGTATTGAACTTGGGGAGATCTAGGATGAAAGTCCCATTCAGAAATGAAAAAATGTGAAGGTGCCTTATACTGTATCAGTCTGTTGGTCCATCAAGGTCAGTATAAGTCTACTCAGCCTAGCTTCAAGTCTCCAGGGTGTCAGGTGGAGGGCTTTCACATCACCTACTTACCTGATCTTATTACCAGGAAATGCCTGGGATTGGACCTGGAACCTTCTGCATGCCAAACAGATGCTCTACCACTGAGCCATGGCCCTCACTGGATGACAAAGCTCACTGAATGACCTTGGGTCAAGCACTCTCTCCCTTGAACTTCAATACAGTTACAGTTCAAAAGAAGAAGGAAAAAGCTGGACTGTTTCCCTGAAGGGCTTCCTTTGGGAAAACTTTGTTTTAATGAGTTTAAAAACTTACCACTAAAGACTTACAAAATGCCTTCATTTTGCACAAGTGGATGCTAATATCCCATACGAAAACCCCGTGTTTCAGGAAACAATTCTGCTTCCACCCCATTCTTCTTCTAAGAAGCTGAGGGAACTGTACGCCGTTGCACATTATAATTCTTCTGTACAAAAACTCTTTCAAATTCAGACAGATTCAGCCTCTTGTCAGTGGTGTTTATTCCAGCATGAACAATGTGCCACTCAACATGCAATGTATAAAAAGTTCAATGTAAGAGACAGATTAAAACAAAAAAAACAATTATATCATCACATTTAAATGCCTGTAAAAAGAGGTATAAATATAATACATTCATTTGGAGCGTTCCAAAGGCCTGTTCCTGAGAAGGTGCCAGGACTTTTAATGATCTCATTCAAGTGCCAGCCTCTTTAGGGAAGCTCTTTTGCTCTCCCCCGAGATGCGTTATTGAGCCAAGCCATTCCTGAAAAGCACCTCTGTGTGCTGCTAGGAGCCAGCTACTAGCAGCTCACTGAAATGTCAGGAATATATTTTGCCCTATTTTATATTTATTATAAAGATGTAGTATTTCATACACTGTGATTTAGCATAAGTGGTAAATACTGTACATAATCAATACAATTGTTCCAGAGTTCCCCTTAACAGTAATCTCCTACAGAATAAAAGCAAGACTCTCCTTTTTATATCTATAAGAAAGAGTTTGATACTGAGAGGTAACTGATATTGTTCACTGCAATATATTTTTTTAAAATCCTTCATTGGCATGTAGTTTGTTGATCTCTCTGAATGCATACAGCCAGTTGTCACAGCTGTTTTGCTGCTTATACAAAACCTCTCTAGCAATCACATTAAAAAAGCAATTATTTCCATCTTGGTCAATTAGAGCAAAAATCTGTTTAGTTCAGTTCCCCCAAATTAGCCAACCAGATGCTTACAGGAGGCCCACAAGCAGGCAATGGCAATAGCCCTCCCTTGCTTTGGCAAATTCTCCACTGCTTGGATTCTGTTATAATGGCTAGTTAGTCGTGGGACTGTGGGAGATGGTTGGGGGCACAAACTATTAGAAAATTTCTCCCCAATCCAAGTCGTCGTCTTCAGGATATCATAAGTTGTTGAAGGCCTGAGCAGGACAATTTGCTGTCTTAACCTGGATCTTATCAGATCTCTTGAATACTTGGATGGGAGACCACCAAGAAAGACCAGGCAAGCCACCTCTGTTTATCTCTTGCCTTGAAAACCCTACGAGGTTGCCATAAATCAACTGCAACTTGGTGGCACTTTCCAGGATGCATGAGCATCAATGACTGGCTACTGTGGGTTGGGGGGCGGGGGGTTCTGCTAGCCTGGCGTTTCTATTCCTTGTTTGCAGCTGACCTGTTTTGCTACCCTCCTCATAGGCACTTGACCATGGCTGTTAGGAGGGACAACGGCGACTGCTGCATGGCCCTGCATCCTCGCAACAATTGCACTATTTTGTATTCTAGGAACAACACGGCACTTGCAAGGAAGATCACATCCTAATTTAGCATGGCTTCCTGGTAGTCCCTTTCTGCAAGACAGCTTTACCAGCAGGCAGACCTCATGGGTACATCCTTACAACTGATGTGCTTGTGGGTGCAGAACAATTTGGAACAAGCCAATCCTTGTCCACGAAGGCACTGTAATTCCTGGGCAGCTTGTTTCCAAATGATGCTGAAACTTTTCCTAGTGGTCTTGTTGCTTCTTTGTGGGGTGGTGGTGGTGATGTTGCTATATATACCGCTGGAACTGATGAGGTTTTGGATCATCATGCCTGCCTGTGATCTGTGCTACCTCTCATTGCTAGAAGTTCTAGGAATATAATGGAGGATGGGGAGGGACTGGGCAGCCCTCGCTCATTGATTTTGAAGCACTGAATTATTTCAATCACCACCAATACCTTATTCTTGCTGCAACACTTGTTAAGTCAGACCTTGAGCTGAGAAGAATGCCTTATGCTGAGTCTGACCTCTGGACCATTCCTAGTGGTCTTGTTGCTTCTTTGTGGAGTGGTGGTGGTGATGTTGCTATATATATGCCGCTGGATCATCATGCCTGCCTGTGATCTGTGCTACCTCTCATGGCTAGAAGTTCTAGGAATATAATGGAGGATGGGCAGGGACTGGGCAGCCCTTGCTCATTGATTCTGAAGCACTGAATTATTTCAATCGCCACCAATACCTTATTCTTGCGGCAACATTTGTAAGTCAGACCTTGAGCTGAGAAGAATGCCTTATGCTGAGTCTCACCTCTGGACCATTCAGTAAAGCATAAATCTACTCTGTCTGGCTTTCTAAGGTAGGGGAGGGGGCTTTCCCAGCACTGCTGCCGGAGATTCTTCTAGCAGTTTGATCCAATACTCCGCAAAGCGTGTGCTTCCGCCCCTCCTCCCTTTTGAAAACTGGACCAAAGCATAAAGAAGATTCCTGTAACCAAAATCATACTGCGCTGCTAAGCTTTGGTGCAACATGGCACAGCATCAGATACATGTCAGCCTTGCAGGCAGGCTGCTGGAATTCACATGAGAGTGGCTGTTATGTGCTATGATGCTGTTGTTTTAAACAGCTTTGAGAGAGTAAAGCAGAGAAGCAGCAGGGGTTGCTACTCCCCAGTCTACCATATCTCCGCTACAGATGCCCCCTGCTGCTTCCCCTCTCCCAATCTGGTTCCAAACACGTTTGAGGTTATTAAACATGCAACTGGCACCCTGTCAAAGGAAAACAACCGGGTACAGCATTTGGAGGGGAGAAGGAGAAGGCACACACACAAAAAAGGGTAAAGCCACTTCTCTGTTTATCTTCCCCCAGCTGCTGCTTTTCCTTTAAAAACAAAAAAAACACAGCATCAGATCTGCTACTTGCATTGGCGAGCCATGTATACCTAACCACCAGTTTATCTTTACCCCTTTTTTGTATCTACAAAAATAGCTGTTACAAATGCAGGTCCAATATTTCTATTTTCCTGTACCTTTTGAGATTAAAAAAACCCTCTAGAATGTTTTAAAGGACTACTAACATTTACAAAAGGCCAAGTGTGCTATACCTTGGTACCGTGCTTGCAGGGTGCCACTGTGCACACACCTAGCCTTTGTTTTATATAGTGTCTGATTGTGAAAGATTGTAAAAGATTACCTAGGTTCTATGTTTCAAAGTTCATCCACTGTAGTGCTGAGTGAGGAAATGTAGAAGGAAATCACGGTTAGGCTCAAAACACCAGCAGTTCTTGCTCTCCCAAGGGAAGTTCCTATGAGACGGGAATGTTCGTGTTCCCCTTGACCCCTGATCTTGGCTTTGGTGATGCTCCCCGCACTTAGAGGAAGAACGTTCACACACACACACACACACACGTACGTGAAAAGGTTACAAGAGAGAGCATCCTTGGCTCCTGCTCCTCGATGGCTTTGCACTTCAGTCTGAATCTGAGTCAGAGACATCCTCTAAAAAGAGAGAAGGTATGGAGAATAAAATTAGATACAGACTTGCTTTATTTGTGTGCACTGAGGAATCCTGGGCAGAATTTCAGCTTGCAAAGGTGATGCACAAATTTGTGCCTGCGTGCTGTTGCCGAATCTGAAGTACCTTAGCACTTCAGCAATTCCAAAGCTGTATTCTCCCATAACCAGGAAGGGCAGAAGGTCTTATACCCCAAATGACATCACATATAGTTTACACATTAAAGAGTCTCTAACTGGTACCAAGCAGTTAACATCATACAAGCATAATTTGACTCAGTGCCTCTCTCAGTGGTGTCAGTAATTACACTTGTTTACCTTGTCTTCAGAACATTGGGAACATTAGAAAACACTGGGTCCCTTCCTGGGTTTATGTGTGGAGAGCTAGCTGATAAGGGCTGTGAATCACATTAAACTTCGCTCTCAGCGGCCTTGCAACTTCTAAATAGCATTCCATTCTTACTGTATGCTAATTCCTTCTACAGAGGCTTCTTATGCAGATATATGCTTCTTATGCAGAGAAATGCAGATATAAAATATATGTTCTGCTATAAGTTTCTCTAATCAAAAGATTCTAGGTTACATACCAAAATCTGGATCTATTATGATTAAACTTTTGAAGGCACAGTGACAGCTGTCAATATACATCAAGGAGAGAGTGTCAGAAATCACATTCAGGAATCACATTCTTTTTCCCTTGTCCTACAAAGGGGCCCATAGAGGCACCTTCATTTTACAAACTTGGGCAGTCCTCTGCTGTATGATTGTCACACAAATAATCTGATTGGGACCAGCTGTCCCAACAACTACTGCCCCCCCGTGAGCATTTCCGTAGAACTGCAGAAGGTACACGGCAAGCCTTGTCTTCTACAGGAGATGCAGAGAGATCTGGAAATACATCTCCTGCCTTTTTAATGGTAAGTTGAAGGCTATAGGAAAAGAGGAAGACCCAGCACAAGATGGACTGCAAGACCTGAGCAAAGCTGCTAACGATTGGACATTTTGGAGGCCATTAATTCATATGGTCGCCATAAATTGGAGGTGACTTTGCTAGATTTGGATTGGGCCATGGAGGGTTAACTCCTTCCCTTGGGTTGCCTTTTCTAACAGCCCCTATTGCTACTGTCTACCCCTTTAAGAGATAACATATAAGGAATGTAGGTTTCTGCAAATATAAGAAATGACTTTAGGAAGTCAGCAGAATTTGAGAAAATGATATGGGGAAGAAACCCCCTTTCCAGCTACACAGCAGCCCCAATCTGGGTCAAATGCAATTTGTTGATAAAAACATTCTGGAATTCCATTCACAGATCTCTCAGGGTGTCACCCAGCTTGGCCCATTGGCATATCTTCCTTCTTTCGCTGCATGCTAGCATTCCAGTTAAAACGAAGAAACACACAAAACAATCTGGAAATCCTGATGCTAAACTGCACGCATGTCATCTCTTCTAAATTTAGGGTGCTAGAGGTGGAGAGTATACCTGGTCCTGTCCTGAGGATTACATTACACACATGCATCCATTTGGACCACTTCCAACGCCGATGGGATCTTCCATGTGTGTGTGGGGGGTGGCTATGAAAAGCTGGCTTGTTACCCACCTTCTGATCTTTGCTGCTCAGGAGCGTCTGAAGAATCACTTTGCTTGAGTGATGTCACCAGGCCGTTAAAGGTCATGTAGAAATCGACAGCGTACACGATTGTCGCGATAAAGCCAAAGACCTGGAGAACAAAAGATGGAGCTTCTGAAAGTATGAAGCATACCCCTTGCTGACCTAGAATACTTTTTGCTTCTAGTGTTGGCTACTCTGACCCCATGTGCTTCCCTGTCAATGCCTGCACAGCCCTTACTGAGAAGTTCATTAGAACTGCTGTATGGCAGTCTTACTGCGTGTGTGTCTGGGGGACGGGAGGGCAGCACAACATTTCGAGACAACTTGTACAGGCTTCAGTTTAAAAGTGAAGGCTTGCCCTACTGGCCTTTGGGAGCAGCACCTTGGCCCCTTTCAACGGATCCTCCTTCCCTTTTGAGTCTTAGCACAGAATCATGCTACACAAGATGCAGGGAGATCTGTAAGTGGATCTTGGGAGTGGCTTTTATCACTGAAACGGCACAATGGGAGGGCGGCACCTGATTTGCACTGCAGCATGGGGTGGTTAACTCTTCCTCACCTGCGGGTTTCTTGCAGCTTCTGTCCCTCCCCCTTTAGCTGCTATTTGCCACACTTGGGTGGTGGTGGGGAGGAAGAAGAAGAAGAGATTGGATTTATACTCCGCCCTTCACTTGGAGTCTCAGAACGGCTTACAAACTCCTTTCCCTTCCCCTCCCCGCAACAGACACCCTGTGAGGTGGGTGGGGCTGAGAGAACTCTGACACAAACTGCTCTTTTTCAAGGACAGCTGTGCCAGAGCTTGTGACTGACCCAAGGTCACATCAGCAGGTGCAAGTGGAGGAGTAGGGAATCAAACCCGGTTCTCCTAGATTAGAGTCCGCGCACTTAACCACTACACCAAACCAGGTTCCCAGAAGAGGCCATGGCTCAACAGTGGAGCCTCTGTTTGACGTGCAGAATATCCCTATTTTGGTCTCTGGGAGGCATCTTCAATTAAAAGGCTCAGGTGATGTGAAACACCTCCGCCAGGGACCCTGGAGAGCACCACTGACCTTAAAAGGCTAGTGGTCTGACTGTGCGTTCACTGATGCTCCCGGTGGGGCAAAAGCATCATGGGCTGGGGGTGGGGAGTCTGAAGGCACGAAAAAAGCATCATGGGCTGGGGGTGGGGAGTCCGAACTGTGTGGAAGGAAAGGGTTAATCCCCCCCGAACTTGGCCAATCTGAATCTGGTGCCTCCATGGCTACTATTTACCAATTTAAAAACTCTTGGGAGATCCATTTACTTTATTTTTGAGCATTTTTGTCAGCTTTGTGGAATGTCTCCTGTTCCCTTAGAGACCATCCGCATCTGAAGGAATGGCTGCCAAGCATCTAATGATCCCAGGAGGACTCGTTCTGTTACTGTTCTCTCAGTTCCCAAACGGAGGCCAGGGCTGGAGCCCATTCACTTACTCCGGCTGCCTTCGCTGCCCCGTCAGAGTATTTTGAGACTGCGGCGATCGAGATGGCGAAGTAGATAACAGCGGCGACGACGCAGCACAAGAAATACTGGAAAAAGAAGCAAGAGGTCTAAAATCTACTGAAGGAGGGAACGATCCAAACGGCATCGTGCACCGCACTATTCGTTTCTTTAATAATTTGCTCAGCTCAAGAGCGCAGAGGTTGACAGGCAGCCCCCACCAATCAGTTTCGTCTTACCCAGGTAGACATCGGTGGTAGAAAGTGCCATCAAGTTGCGGCCAATTTATAGCGATCCTATAGGGCAGAGGTGTCAAACTCATTTGTTATGAGGGCCAGATCTGACATAAATGCCACTTTGTCGGGCCGGGCCATGTGTGCCATAAAATGTAATGCCAGGTACCGGAGATAGACACTGTATAAAGGACAGCAGCTGGTAAGCTCTGAGTTGATGTACCCTCACTGCAAAGCCCCCCGGGCTGGGAAGGAGGTGCAAACGAAAACCCACACGGGCGGACTGGAGAGGCAGCAGTGCAGTGCTGGGGCAGATGCTCCCACGATGCTTGACCGCTGCAGATAAAGCTGTTCTGCCACACTGAAGCCACAATGGAGAGGCTCCGCCCACTCCCCCCAGCACTCCCTCCCTTGCATCAGTTGCTCGCAGGCCACATAAGAGCCCTGGACGGGCTGGATCCGGCCCCCGGGCCTTACGTTTGACACCCCTGCTATAGAGTTTTCAAGGCAAGGAACGAACAGAGGTCATTTGCCATTACCTGCCTCTGTGTGGCAACCCTGGACTTCCCCGGTGGTCTCCTATGCAAGTACTAAATAGGGCTGACCCTGCTTAGCTTCTGAGATTTGATTCAATCCAGCTAGCCTGGGCCATCCAGGTCAAGGTATATATTTCTTATTACTTATATATTCGTTATTACTGTTTTATTATCTTTCCCCGTGAAGGTAAGAAGACCTGTTGTAGGGGGACAGCTTGGTTCCAAAGAGCATGAGCCATCATCAAAAGATACAGGCAGGGGGGGTTCACAGGGGCACAGACGAGCATCACAATGCAGCTGTGTCCCCACATCAGCTGAACACATGGAAGCGAATCTCCCTGGTTATACTGGGGCAATGGGTATTTTGGAAAAGCCGGTCAACTGGGATTGCTTTGCTTGTTTTTCGAGCAGCCATCTGAATAAGAGATCTTATGCGATAAGCACTGTTTTCTTGGCTGCGGCACAGGGGTTTCCATCAGTCTCGAACAGATGGGAGGGTTATTGTCATATGTGCATTCTTCAGGGAACCAAAATCCTTTGGAGGTCAGAAAGAGGTCAGTAATGCGTGTTATTCTGGGACTTTCCACATATGCTTTCAATAGGACCTCATGTTCGGAGATTTCCCTTTTTTATAAAACCATCTTGGAGGGCCTGTGATGTATGCTACGGCACTGGAAGTGGAAGGCAGCTCTAGTTAATTTATTTTTGAGATATCGTCCAGAGGTAAGATTCCTCAGGGTTTTACTGGAGATCGCTAGCTTTCCAGAGATATTGTGAGATGCTGTACCTCTCGGCAGTCTCTGACAGTTAAACAGATCCAGTGGCTGATGGAAAATAATGAACGTGAACCAATCCTGGAGGAATTTGAACTGGAACTTGGCCTCGCGTTCCCCCGCCCCAAAGTTGTGCATTTGTTTGGAAGAACAGCAGCACCTAGTGGCCAGTTTGAAGAATGCAAGGTGCTAAGGGTTAGTATAGAGAGAAGGACATCTGTGACTTTAAAACAAAACGTAATCACAAACTGCACATGTCTGCTTTGAAGACTGGGGAAGGGTCATACATCCCTCCCCAAAACTCTAAAGCAGGGGTGTCGAACTCATTTGTTATGAGGGCCGGATCTGGCATAAATGAGACCTTGTTGGGCCAGGCCATGTGTGTCATGAAATGCCAGGTAGCGGAGATATAAACTTTATAAAGGACACAAACACACAGATTTTTTTTTAACTTAAAATAAAAACATGCTTAAAACATTAGCTCTGTAAGCTGCAAACCTACTTTTGATTTATTGACATCCACCACAGAAATATCATGCTCAGAGTTCTAAGTCTAGAACCCAGGTTAAAACATGAAATGGCTGAGTGATTAAGAGAGTCTGGCGAAGCAAGCTATGATGCAGCAGCAGCAGCAGAACTGGAAGCAGGCCGCATGTTTGACACCCCTGCTCTAAAGCTTCAGAAAAATCTACAGGGGGCCATTGGGCCCGGGCTCTTTTTACACCTGTAGTGCAAGTTGGAGGGGGGGGGGAGATTGGGGGAAAGAACTTAAATCCAGGAAAGGTTATGGGAGGAAAGAATTAACCACTGCCTCCCCACCCCAGCAATTCTTCCACAATCTTCAAATCAGCGGCCAGAGACTGCTAATCAGGGTTTTTTTAAAAAAAACAAATGCAGGACATCTTAGGCTGCTTCTAGAGTAGGGGTGCGCAGCAGCAATAGGGAGCAATGCAGGAGCAGGTGGGAACAGTACCCCGCCCGTTCCTGCACCCCTTGCTGCTGCCACCCCCTCTTCCTCTTATCCCCATCATGCCCCTACAAAAGTGATGGCGACCACATGAGGGCCCCTGTGACCCAGAAACATTTCCCCCCTTCTTGCTCAGCTGTAACACTACAGGACAACTCAGCAGGCAAAAAAGTCTGTTAAGGGGGGTGGAGATAGTGCATGACTGCACAATGCCCTGCATGATTCTGAAAGCAGTGATTGGCCTTACCACCATCTATGGTCTCTCATAGGTGAAGCTCAACTCCGCAGTTACCCTTTTAAAGAGGAAAGCCCTTGGAACATCCTAAACTGTGCTCAGAATGAGCATGACATCAGACGGACATTCCCTTTAAAGCCAGACACCATGCAGGGAACATGCTCTCAGTGTGGAATCACCGTATATAGGCCATGGATCTCCCATTGTGTCTTATTTGACTGAGATGTAGTTTTCCAGTGCCGTCAAAGACTGAGTCACTGCTGCCCACAACATGTATGCCTGGCCGACAGTGAAATATGCCCGAAGGTTTTTAGGTAACTCTTCAAGACCCTGCAAAAACTCACTTTCCCAGAGGCAAGCACACTTTAAAAGGAGGGCGTGCCCCAGGAAACGGGGCTCATCTCAGACCCCTGTAGACTCTACTGCGCAGTGAGTTGGGTCTCACCAGCGCAAGGAGCCATTCCCCGGCTTGGCTGAGTTGCATGCGCTCGCTTACCGCCAAAAGCCAGTAGGTCACCTTGAACTTCTCATTCAGCTTTAAGGAATACGCAAAGAAGAAACACAGGGCCAGCAGGAACGTGAGCAGTGGCACCGTCAAGAAAGAGGAGGCTTTGGAAGCAATGAAGCAGATGAAAATGATAAAGGACAGCCCCTGTAACAGAAAGGAGAGCATTGCTATTTGTGCACAAGGCATGTGCATGGGGGGGGGGGGCTCCCTCCATTTCCCGGCACAGGAGATGACATGACATTCATAGGGTTGCCAACCTTCAGGTGGTAACTGGAGATCTCCCAGAATTACAGCTGTCTTTAGACAACACAGATCAGTTCCCCCGGAGAAAATGGCTGCTGTGGAAGGTGGACCGTTTGGCATCGTATGCTACTGAGGTCCTTCCCCTCCTCTCCCCAAGCCCCGCCCTTTCCAGGCTCCGCCCCCAAAGTCACCAGGTATTTCCCAAGCCAGAGCCGGCAACTCTACTTCTGAGCAGTGTTCCCTCTAAGCAAAGTTAGTGTGAGCCAGCTCACTGTTTTTTAGCCTCCGGCTCACACATTTTTGTCTTAGCTCAGGAAGGACAGCTCCAGAGCAAACTAATTTGTGCAGCAGCTGAATTGCTCTCTCACAACTTTAATGCCAGTAGCTTACAAAGTAGAATTATTGCTCATGAGACTCCACAGCTTAGAGGGATCATTGCTTCTGCGGCAGCATAACACTCTTTTTCTTTTAAACTGAGAACAAGCTAATGAAGGTCTTTTCTAAAAATGAGGAAGAGGTGAGGATTCTCATTTTTACCATGTCTAGGGCAATCTCGGGAGTTGCAGTGGCTCAAGTGGTTAAGACGCTGAACTGCAGACCGGATGGCCGGTAGTTCGGCAGTTCGAGACCCGAGTGCTGCATGACGGAGTGAGCTCCTGTCTCTAGCCCCAGCTCATGCCAACCTAGCAGTTCGAAACTAAAAGGTGAGCAGGTGCCCGCAGAGGGGATGTGCCCACACCTGCTCTCCCCGCCCGCCACTCAGCTGCAGTGAGGCCCAAGGCAGGCTCGCCAGGCCGAAGAGGTAGCTGGCCAGCACTGTATGCCCTCCCTCCCTGGGCAGCAGGCAAGGCAATGAGGCTGGAAGTGCCGGGCTGGATCAGTGTGCTGCTGTTGCTGCTGCACATGCGGCCCCAGGTAAGGCCAGGCGGGCGGCTGGGGACCCTGGCAGGTTGAGTCTGTGTGAGGCTGGTGTGGAGATGGGGGCAGGGATGCTGCGCAGTCGGGCTCCGGGGAGGGTAGTCGGGGGGACGCACTACTTTCCCTTCCCTTCGTGACACTCGGAGTTCCATTTCATACTGTGTGGTGGTGGTGGGGGGGCTCAACCTTTTGCTATGCTTCTCCCTTGGCGGCTTGCATGAGAGACTGAGGGCTTCTATGGGGTGCTCCCAGGCTTGGGTGTGTGTGGAGGGGTGTGTGGAGGTGCCCCCCAACTTATTTAAATGCTTCGGACTGGGACTGTACCTCAGTGGTAGAGCAACTGCTTTGCATGCAGAAGGTCACAGGGTTCAATCTCCAGAATGTCCAGTTCAAAGGATCAGGTATGTGGGAATGAAAAACTCCTGTGAGGCATGCGCGGGAGTTCAAGTCTTGTAGGTTTGAGGGTTCAATAACGACACAACACACAGAGATCTTTTGAAGTTCTCTGACCAAGCTCTCCTCTCTCTGTCCAAACTGTCTCCCCCGAACTGCCTGTCAGCAGCATTTTATTAGAGCAGATCACACATTTCTCCCCCCCCCACCCTGTATTTCATTCTGTGGGGTGGTGGTGGGGGGGGCTCAACCTTTTGCTATGCTTCTCCCTTGGCGGCTTGCATGAGAGACTGAGGGCTTCTATGGGGTGCTCCCAGGCTTGGGTGTGTGTGGAGGGGTGTGTGGAGGTGCCCCCCAACTTATTTAAATGCCCCCCCAATTAAAAAAAATCCTGGCTACAGGCGTTCACCCCTGGAATAGAGGCTGAGGCCTTCCCACAATTTTTCTAGCCCTGGGTTTCTGAGGTTTACTGCCCCTGAATGTGGAGCCACCATGGCTAGTAGCCATCGACGGAGCTCTCCTCCATGAATCTATCTAATCCCCTTTTAAAGCCACCTATGCCCACGGCCATCGCTATGTTCTCTGGCACTGAAATTCACATTTTAATCACTCACTGTGAAAAAAAAAGTATTTCTTTTTATCCATCCCGAATCTACTGCCCATCAACTTCATTGAGTACCCTTGAGGTTTGGCATTAGAGAGAAAGACTGCTCTCTAGCCATAAATGTAGGAAGTTCTATCATGTCCATCCTCAGTTTTCTCCTCAGGGGAACTACTACATGTGCTGCTTGGAGCTCTTTTTAAGAAAGGACAGGATATCATATGTCTTTAAAAAAAAGACATTCTTCATCAGGTACTTTAGATGAAAAGACACGGCTGCATTTCAGCTTTGATGCCTGAAGCTTCATCAGTGGCTTTCAAATATGAATACACCCCCCCACAGCACCTAAAGACCCCTGCCTCGAGGGCAAACTGTGAACACATGAGTTAAGGGAGAGGAGAGTTAGTATTTAACAGGACGAGGGAGCTTATGCTGGAGCCGACAGAGGTCATTTCGGGGGGGATCGCGGGGGATCGCAGTTCCCCCGGGTGAGGTAATGGGGGCGGGGCACATGACGAAGCCCCGCCCCCTGCTTCCGGCCGCCCCGCTTCCGGCCCTCATTCAGCCAGGAGGAGGCAGGAGAAGAGGGAGGGTAAGTTGCTTCCTCCCTGCCTCTCCCCACCCCTGCCTGCCTGGGGCCAGGGAGGGCCTTTGCGGGGCTTCCTTGCACTCCCGCCGGCCTTGCAGGTCCATCGCCGGACCCCCTCATGGGGCTCGGCAGTGGAGCTGCAAGGCTGGCGGCAACAGCCGGGAACGTTGGGAGCAGGGTGTGTGGCCTTATGACACACTTCCGGTGATGTCTGGGGGTGTGGCATATGCTAATGAGTTATGCTAATGAGTTCCCCTAGCTCTTTTTCTACGAAACGACCCCTGGGAGCCGATATGCCACAAGGCTGCTTGTGAACCTGAACGAGTTATACACAAGGGTGTCCAAGTGGCTCTTAGAAGCCTATAAACCAGAACTGCCTATAAGGGACATTATTATGGATTTGGCAAAGACTGTGGATCTCTGTTTCTCTCCCCACTGCTTGGGGTGGGGAAGAGGGCATTTCACTTTTCAACTTCCTGCTGGGTTTTGCTAACAGAAGCAGGGCCGCCTCTGCAGTTGTCAGTGCTTTAAAAGCTAATATAAACAAAAACAGGGAAGTTACTGGCTCACAGAACAAACTTAGCTTGCCTGCCTGCACTGATGTTCTGGGGGGGGGGGAAGGGGGGGAAAGGACAGGGTTACAGATTAGAGAAGGTCATCCAGAGAAGATTCTGAGAACTATGGGACTTGCAACACCTGCCACAGCCCATTTCATTTCATTTTCTTCATTTGTAACCCGCCTTTGGGAACCCCCAAAGTGGCATACATGATTCTCCTCTCCTCCATTTTACCCTTACCACATCCATGTGAGGTAGGTTAGGCCAAAAGTGTGCGACTGGCCCAAGGTCACCCTGTGGGTTTCCATGGCACAGTGGAGATTAGAACCTGGGCCTTGCAGATCCTTGTCTGAAACCCTAACCACTACACCACACTGGCTCTCATGACAGACAGTGCTTTATAAGTGGGACTCTGTACATGAAAAGTGTAAACTTGCCAGTCTTGTAACAATTACTGGTTCCTGTAACTTTGTAACTATTATTGCTTTTAAAGAGGGCTGCCAGCCATGCTGAGTATCGTCTGCCTTTAAATAGAGTATGTTAAAAGGCAAAAAAAAAAATCAGTTCCCTTTTTTTGAGATTACTGGAAGAATGGGCAGAGAACTAATTTACCACTAACTCACTGTGACACCTTTTTCGTTTCCTATACAGTGACTCACCAAAGCTTAAAATAAAATAAAAACATGCACACAGCTGCATCAATTATAATTGCCCTCCTTGGTTAAATCTAGCCCTCCCCAGTTCAGTACATTCAAGCTGTATTGGCTACTCAAAGTTGGCCACCTTAATTCTGTTTTCCTCCCCACCATAGCTGACTCAAATGTGGAGAGCTCTCCTTTCCCAGGGATTGGTCAGCCTTCAGTGGGTCACAGAAAGCGGTCTTCTGACATCATGCAATACTTTCCCCCAGGTGGAAGCTTCTGATACAGAAAAGAGACTGAAAAAGAGAAAGAGAGAGACACAGAGAGAAAGGTAGAAGCAAAGTCATGTTTCCTGCAGGTTGGAGTCGTGTCCCCCCCCCAACCTCCCCCCTTTTTACTAGAACTTCAAACAGAAGTTTGGGATTTAGGGTTTTTTGACAAGTCATGTCAGCTGTATAGATTTTTTGGAAGCACTCTCTAGATCGATCCCTGGCATCTCCCATTAAAAGATCTCAGGCCGTGAATGTTGAGGAAAAAACCTCTGTTTCTTAGGGGTGTGGCATTCGGTATATACCAAGCCAAACAAATACCCAAATATGCCTTATCGGTATTATTCGGGTATTCATTCAGCCGAATACCAAATCAGAGCATCTATTTGGTACCCAAACAGAGATTCCTGAATACTATTCGGCTTTATTTGGTCATTATTTGGCTCCATTATACCCTAAGGGGCCATTACAGTCAACAGCAACTTCTGGTATATTCAGTGGGCTGGGGGAGGAGGGGATTTGAGGTAGAGGCCCCAAATATGCAGTGTACCTGCTGCAGCCTCTCCCCAAAAGGACCCCCAAGTTTCAAAAAGATTGGACAGGTGGGTCTAGTTCTATGGGCATCCAAAGAGGGTGCCCCCATCCTCCATTGTTTTCAAAGGGGGAAGAATAGCAGGGCAATCCAAGCCTATCAGAATGCCCCAGAGAATCTCTGCAGTAGAAAGGGAAGTGTGTGGGAGGCATTTTTGCAAGGCCAGCATCCAAGGCAGTGCAATGTGCCCAGCAGAACCAGAACCATTGTGGCAGTGCCAAAACTCAACAGGACTAAGGTCAGATCTGAGAATCTTTTAAGTAACGGGGGGGGGCATTTCTGCAAGGATAGCAGAACCAGTGCAATGTACTAGTGCCCAGCAGCAGAACCCACCTATTAGT